CCCCCCCCCCCCCCCCCCACTGCTTCATGGCGCTGAACAGCTCTGATGTGTCAGTGTCCTGCCCCTTCCATTGCCCCTCACTCCCATGCCACAGCCCCCTGGCCCTACTGGTGCCCCTCACTCCCCACCCACAGCCCCCAGCCCTGCCAGAGGGAGCCCCCAGCTGCCAGGACTACAGGGCCAATAACCCAGTTCCACAGCCCCCTGCCCCCTGAAGCAGTACTCAAACCCCAGCAGCCACCCACAGAAGGAGCCTGGCTCTCCCTTCCCCATGGGCAGCACAGCCGAAGTGGAGCCTGTCAAGGGGGGAGGGGGCAGGCGTGGGCTCCCTGCCCTCTCCCCAGGGCCTCCACGGCCTAGTGGGCAGGACCGGGCAGAGTGGGGCAGGGAAGCTCGTGGCCACCACTGTGAGCCACACACTGCCATGGCAAGGTGCTGCCTGGCCACCTGGCAGGGGTGGTGGTGTGGGGTCATGGCCCCTGCTGCTGCCAAGCAGACAGGGGACAGCTCTCCATGGCAGCATGGGACTTGCGGCAACGGCACTGGATTCCCCACCCAGGCCTGCTCTGCCCTGGCACGCTGGGTCCCACTCACTGGTCACGGAGGCCCTGGGGGTGGGCAACGGGGTGGGAAGCCTACCCCCACCCTGTGCACAGATCTGGGGGGGCACATGCCCCCCATATCTCCCTTGGGAGTGCATGTGGTGGCAGGGAGCCGCTCCCCCTACCCCCTGGACAAGCTGCCCGCAGCCCCATCCTGGTCTCTGCCCGGGCCCTGCAGCCACACATGGTCCCAAGCCCCATGTACTGCCCAGACTGTGTACCTGCCCCAGACCTGCCCAACTCCCTCCCTCACTATGAGGGCCTTAATTCCCCCTTCCCCACCCAGACTTACATATGGGAGATGCTCTCCAGGCTGCCTAGCAGCCATGTGCATGCATATATGTGCATGTGCACATGGCACCCCCTGCCTGATTGCCCTCTTCCTGCTCCCCCAAGCCTTGCAGGGTGGAACTCTGTCAGCCTGCAAGGGGAAACCCACCTTAACCTACATTTTTCTTGTTTAAAGGAGAAAATCCAGGTTTTTCTCCTCAAAGAAGCTTAGGGAGCAGCGTGAGATGCACGGGTGAAAGCCTGTCACGCCCCTGCACCCCAAAGTCCCCCAGTGACTCCCAACTGCTGCCGAGCTCCCCCCGCTGACCCCCAGCAGCAGCCAGAGGTAAGTGGGGCCATGGTGGTAGGGGACTAGCCCAGCTTAGCTGCAGGGAGCCTGCTGATTAGGAACCGGGGAGGGTCTCACCCCTACTTTGCCCAGCCCCCCAAGGAGCCTCACGAACAGGCTGCGCAAACAGGCATGAGAGTTAGCACAGAGTTTGCGTAGGAGGGTGAGCGGGAGGGCCTGAGGCCCTGCCTGGGGGCCCCTGCTCTAGGGTAGACCATCCCATCTGTAGCCAGCCCACCAGCGGCATGCCACGGATGGGCACATGCCACACCACAAGGGTCCCCTTGGGGTCTGCGGCCCCTCCCTCTGGCTCCTCAGAGACCTCCACCCAAACAGAGCCCATGGTTCTGGGCTCCACACAGATGGAGCCCCTAGCTCTTGGCTGTGGAGGCTGCCTGTCGCTTTTTCAGGCTCGGGGGGCCAGGAGCGTCCTCTTGTGGGGTCTGCTCCCTACTGGGATCTCTGGCACGCCAACTGGAGGAGCTCCAGACTGCAGTCCAGAGACTGCGTGCCATCAGGGACTGTGAGCAGGAAATAGACTCCTACTGCCAGGCCCTTCTTCCCCAGGAGACGGAGGGTAGACCACGGTTGCCTTCCAGGACAAGGGAGGACTCGGGGACCTCCCTTACTGTCTAGCCCAGGGGTTGGACCAGGGTGGTCAAGGGCGCCAAGGCCTGCCGCACCAAGGCCCCTGCCCCTCTGGAGCTCAACAACAGGTACAAACCTCTTGCAGCCCCAGCAGAGCCTGCTGAGTTGCCAGCTCCCACAGGCAACACGGGCTCTACTGTGGCTACCGCCCCTGCTCTCCCTAAGGCCAAACACAGTGTTTGTCGTGGGAGACTCCAACCTGAGGGGGACTGAGGGGGGCAATCTGCTGCCCTGACCCCTTAGCCTGGGAAGTCTGCTACTTCCCAGGAGCCCACATCTGAGATATTGCAGAGAAGATCCCTAAACTCCTCCAACCCACTGACCACTTTCCCATGCTCTTCATCCATGTGGGCACCAATGACATGGCTCAGAGTGCTCCCAGCCAGATCATGAGGTGCTATAGGGATTTGAGAGCAGGACTAAAGGGTCTGGGGGCACTGGTGGTGTTTTCTTTGATCCTCCCAGTCTCAAGCTATGGGCTTCAGAGGGAGAGGAGGATCCAGGTAGTGAACCAAAGACTGCGGCGCTGGTGTCATCGGGAAGGCTTTGGCTTCCATGACCACAGTCTGCTCTTTGGTGAGAGAGGCAGCTGCTGGGAAGGGACAGCCTCCATCTCTCTCCGCTGAGGAGGGAGGCTCTTCTCAGCCAGGCTGGCTGACCTGCTCCACCAGGCTTTAAACTAAGCCAGCCAGGGGATGGGGGGACTACTGCCACTGATGGCCCACTGAGCAACCCTGGCAAATCCAGCGGGCCTAGGCACTTAAGGGAGCCCACCCCTGCCCCAGCCCTGGATCAATCTGTGGGCAATGCAACGGCTCCCAAGAGGACACTTGCCTGCCTGTACACAAATGCCAGGAGCTTGGGGAACAAGCAAGAGGAACTTATCCTCCTGCTTAACACAAATAATTACGATGTCATAGAGACCTGGTGGGACTCCACCCATGACTGGACCATGGGTATAAACAGCTATACCCTGTACAGGAGAGATCAAGTAGACAAAAGGGGCGGGGGGGTTAGTGCTCTATGTTAAGGGGAGCTACACATCCCTGCAAGCGGTTATTGGCGACCAGGGTGGATGGCTGGAGACCCTCTGGGTTAAAATCCATGGGGAACATGATACAGGGTACATGATGGTGGGAGTGTGCTACAGACCTCTCACCCAAAGTCAAGAGTTTGACCAGGAGTTTGCCAGGGAATTGGCTGAGGCCTCATGCTCCCAGTCCATGGTTGTCATGGGAGGCTTCAACTACCCAGACATAGAATCATAGAAGTAGGGTCGGAAGGGACCTTATAGATCTTCAAGTTTGACCCTCTGCCAGGGCAGGAGAAAAAACTGGGCTCAAATGATCCCAGCTAGGTAGGCATCAAGCCTACTCTTAAAGACCCCCAGGGTAGGAGCCAGCACCACTTCCCATGGAAGTTGGTTCCAGATCCTAGGCACCCTGACTGCGAAGTAGTTTTTACGGATGTCTAATCTAAACCTACTCTCCAACAACTTGTGGCCGTTATTCCTTGTTATACCGGGGGCGCTAGGGGAAACAAGGTCTCTCCCAA